AATGGACAAAAGATTTGAAAGACATCTCAATAAGATATACCATTTTTATGCTCAACACCAGTAATCATCAGAAAATGAAAATAAAACCCCAATGAGATACCATCACACACCTTCTGGGAAGGCTAAAATGAAAAAGACTGACACAACCGAGTGCTGACAAGGGTATGGAGCAACTGGACCTCATGCTCTGCTGATGGGAATCTGCAATGGTACACCTGCTTTGGGAAAGCTCAGTAGCTTCCAAAAATGTTAAATGTACACTTACCAAGTGATACAGCAATTCTACTCCTAGGTACACCATGCACATGCACATGCAGGCAATATACTATTACTCAGCCATGAAAAGGAACAAACAACTGATACATACAGCAACAAGAGTTATCCTCTCAGAACCTGCTCTTGTGTCAGCACTTTTTTAAGTCACTAGGTGACACCACCATTGACCCAAACTTAAAAGTCATGTCTGACTATTCTCTTTGCCTTCCCTCTTATTTCATTCTTAAATAACCCTGTAGATTATTTAGAGATAATATAATTTTTAGAATCTAATTCAAACCAACAAGCATCATGAATGTATTCATTCATTAACTCAGCAAGTTCTGCTGCCTCTACAGCAGCAGACAACACCCAGAGCATCCCCTCCAGGAGACTGACCCCCTAACTACAGAAACAGGCAATTGAACCAATAAGAAAGATACTTAAATTTCTGTATGATAAAGGAAGGACACAATCTCGCCTCAGTCTTAGGAAAGGAGGGGGAGACATTTAATCTGAGTTACAATGGATAAAATAGGACCTCAGTGTTAGGGGACGAGATCTGGGTCCAGGCCCAAGGACCCACAGAGGCAAAGGCCCAAAAGTAAAAGCACCCTGAGGGATTAGAGGGCCAGGGCTTTAAGCTACTGAGGACGGATCATGCTTACATTCTAGAATAAAGCAATCACTGGCTCTTGTGTAGAAACAAAAAAGAAGCTGGCAGGAGTTCAGACACTGCAGTTACTCCAGGAAGGACATCGGGGTGGCAGGTATGAGAGCAGTGGTAGACAAGCTAGAAAGTGAGCCAGCTCAGACCTTTAGGTGGTGATCAGCAGGAAACAGTGGTTATTTGGAACTGGGGCCAAAAAAGGACATAATCAGAAAGGACAGCACCCTTTCAGCTCCGACTGCTGGGTGGCTGATGTGGTTACTCACTGAGACTGGAAAAAGTGAAGGGAAGCAGGTTTGAGGAATGCACTGGTGGGACAGGGCATCTGAGTTACCTACTCCACACACATGGGGACATGTCCCAGGAGACACAGGGCTAGTGCTCAGGAGAGAGGCTGCAGCGGGAGATGCAGTCTCAAGAATGATTAATACACATATGCCAGCTGAAGTCACACCAGTAGGTGGGATTACTCCATGAGCAAATGCAAAGTGAGGAAAGAAATGCTCAGGGACCCAGATGAGGTAGAAGTCAAAAATTAAAATGAAATCTAATGAAATTTTAACCTTTACACGGTATTTCCTTTTTGCCTACAACTAGATATGAGGCCAACTTCTCTGCAAGAACTCTCAGCACACGTCTATCAGTCTGAAGCCCGGCCCACAGCTATTTATGAAATAAGCCAAGGGCTTGGCTTTCTTCATTACTGCCACTTTGCCAATGATACTCTAGAATCACCCTGTTAAGTGCTTGCTAATGTGACGTTCATCAAAAATTAATCAAATCATTCTACAACTAAGCATAAAATGTAAACCCAAAAATATGATTCACATTTTTAAAGAGGTCTATAATTATCAACATAAAATAGAGCCTCTCTCTGCTAGTATAGCACTTTTTGAAAGTATGCAAACTGCAATTTGATGCAGCACCCAGGTGCTTATTTTGCTCAGCAATTAATTCAGTTAGAAATGTACATACTATGAATCAAATTAAATCCAGCAGAGGTGAAACAATAATTGGTGAATCTGCTTGAAATTGATTTACTGGCTATCAATATCGCAAATTTTGAGGATTTTTTTATAACAAAACTCAGTCTATTCTTCCTCTTTGATCCCATAATCATCTGTGATGTTCTGATTTTGCCAATATAGAAACAAGATGACCTCATATAAAATCCCTCTTGTTACATTATATGACACCTCATGGTAAGGTTGAACACAGAGGCACAGATGACAAAACATTTCAGTCAGTCTGAGATAGTATACACACACAGCAATAAATAGATACAGGTATGTGCACACTATATTCAAAGAACAGACCAACAGCTTGGTGTGGAGCCTCCACTCATAAAACAGATACACAGAGACTGACTCTGGAAAATGGAAGTAGGAATGGGGGAAGGAAGCCGGAGGAAAACTTGTACTTTTTACTCTATATTGTTTATTTTTATAATGGAAATGTATCTGTGTGTTGCTTATGTTTAAAAATGAAATGTGAAAATTGAGGCAGTGATACCATTCTTATGGGCATAGGGGACATTAGAGACTGTAATTCCTCATAGACTCCTGCAGACAATTCATTGAGGCCATGGCCCCGCACACCAAATGCAGAGCTAGTGAGCCCAAGTCCCCTTAGGGGAAACATATTCTGTATGTTATGCTACAAATTCACATCCTCTATGTCAATTTCCATTCCAAGTGCTTTTGCCTCCCATTTATAGTTCAGCTTGTCAGTTTAATTTTGTGCTGCTTTATAGGTATCCACAATAATTACAATGTTTGATGCTGTACCTAAAAGTTGAGCTAAACAGAGCCGTTTAAATGCATATGTTCTGCCCACTTTGACTCCCAACCCACATCTACACACACACCCATCACTCACACACATGCAAGCATATGTACCAGCTGCTGTTGTGTATATCTTTCATCTTACCAGCTATTTTCCTATTACTTTCTACAGCATATCCAATGACATTATTATTGATGCTACAGTAAGCAGCTAATGTAAGTGGTAAAAATACATGTGCTATAATGAATCAAAATGACGTACCCACCCACCAAACTCTCTCAATGCATTCTAATCAGATAAAGCGTTTTTAGATTTTCTTCCTTGAGTGTACTACACAAGGAAGAAGTGGCACTGGGGAGAAACATTCATAAAAACTGGGGACCATAAAAGTAAATGTTTAGGTCATTGAGAATAAAAGAAAGTTTGTCTAGAAGATCTGTGTCAAATAATATGGTAATTCACTGGTTCTATGTGTAGTCTTTTTAACCTGAAGTTCCCTGAAACATATAGCTCAGTTTTACACTAAGAGAAGAGCTAAAACATCACCATAAAATAGACTTTCTAGCATTTATCTGATAAAAAAGCATGGGTTTGTTTTCATTTTCTGCTTTTTAGTTTTATTATTACTCATGAATTTATACAAAACTGGTATCTTCCTAATTTGCTCACAAAATGAAGCAAAAATAATTCAGTTGTTTTTCACATTCCAAATTTTTATTAGGAACATGTTATTTCTAGCCTTCTATTTTTGTATTTTTTGTTTTATGTTCCTTGGGAATAGGGTGCATCCCTTATTTAAAATAAAATAAACAAAAAGCCAGGGGGAAAAAGAGAATAAAATAGAAAAAGAAAGACTACAACTAATCATAATTTAGAACAAGAATAAGATTTAGGATTAGAAAGGAAATTAGAAGTCTGGGTTCTGCCTAGCTGGGTTCATGTCCCAAACTTCAGAACCTACAAACTATAGGATGGTCAGAAGTTTCTTTGCCATTCCATACCTGTTTCCTTATTAGTCAAATGAGCCTAATAATAGTGCCTAATCCTCTCAGGAGTCTTGCAAGAGTAAATAGGATAAAATAGTGCCTAGCACACAGTAGGTGTCTAATAAATATTAGCTCTCACTAGTAGGACAGAATAGGAAACTAAGGCCTAGAGAGTTAAGTGCTCTCTCTGGGATGATCTAACCAGCTAATGGCAGAACTGTCATTACAACTCGGGTCCTCTGACTTCTTTTTGGATGTTTTGGTTTCTTTTCTATTTATTACTCTATTTCTAGTCTGGAGGAATTACTTTCAAGGAAATGAGACAGCAAAAAAACCCTCAGATAAGCACGGTCTAGATTTGAAAGAAGCAAAGGAGGAACTTTGGTCTGTTGAGCACAGACACACACACCAAAATAAGAAACCAAATTTGGGGGTGGTGGGGGTGACACAGACACAAAGCCTCCAATTAGACTTTTTATTAGGATGCAATTCATTAAAACATAATTACATTTCCTATTAAATAATTAATCATAAGGTTAGAAGAAAAGGTCATGTTGAATGTTAATTATACATCCTTTAAAGAATTTCAAAGATGTTAATAGCAGCACTCTAATAGACTGTCAGGTGTATAAATTAACTGACACTTAGAAGGCAATTCAGCATTATCATGTAAAAATTTAAATACATATATCCTTTTGCTAATCGATATTACTGGTAAAAATTTACCATACAATTAATTGCAGAAGTGTGCATCCCTGTACACAAAAGGCTGTTTGGTGCATTGCCGGCAATACTAAATACTGGAAAAAATGTAGGTCTTTCTTTAATGGGGAAATTATGACTGTGGTGCATTCATATAATGAAATCAGTAGGATGATACCAAAAGTTCCTCTGAGACAGATTATGCAATGAAAATAAAAGTCAAAACATACAAGAATTGTGCCTATATATACATAACCTATATGTGGTTTTTTTTAAACAAAGAATAGAGATATATGACTATTTTTCCACTAGAAAACGCTAGAAACACACAAGAAATATAACAGTTGTTATCTCTGGGAAACAGGATTGAAGTCAGGAGGACAAGAAGATGGAGAGGAGTAAATATTTACTTTTCTTTCATGATGTTACATAGTTCTTATATATATATATATATAATTTTTAACCACAGACGTAATTTTTCAATTTAAGTAAAATAACAAGTTAAAGTAAGTCAAAGATTGTGAAGAAACATAAATAGGCCAACAGACAAATTTAAGAGCAGAGAACCAGGAGGCCCCACTTGGATGGCTGAACATTCTTACCTGACACTTAGCACTACAGTACTTGGCCACTCGGCATTGAGAACACCTCATCAGTTTTTCCTTCCTGTTAAAAAAAAATGCATCTCACATTAGGAAATGAGTGGAACCATAAAGTGGCTAAAGGAAGAAAACATGAATCAACATATTCACGCCAGTATGCTCTGCTCTCTCCATCCGTATGGTCCCTGAAAATTCAGATTTTTCCCTTTTATGAACATGGCCACCTGAGTTTGAAATGTACATAATAACTAACGTTCTTTTTTTTTATTGTGGTAAAATATACATAAAGTTTATTATGTTGATTAACCATTTTTAAGTAGATACCTCAGTGTGTTGAAATGACAATTCAAAGCCAAAAGTAGAGTCATTCATGCTAAGCCCCACATGATCAAGCCAAGACTTCATTACAGTTTCTGCTCTCCCAGAAATGGAATCGCCTGATGGGCACGAGTGAGGTGACCTGCCCAACAGACCCTGCCATCCCCCAAAGGAAGGTGCAATAAGGACTCTGCAATAACCACCTTGCTTTTCCAGCTACTATAACGTCCTTGTCCCCCCTCCCTTCTGCCTGTATGAATCGGTCATTTTGCACAGCTCCCCAGAGCTCCTTTCTATCTGCTAGACTGGATGCCACCCAACTCATGAACTGTTGAATAAAGCTTATAAAGATCTTTAAAATTTACTCAGTTGAATTTTGTGGCACTAAGTGGCACTAAGCACATTGATATTGTTGTGCAGCCATCACCACCACTATTGTTTATTTTAACATAAATTTAATTAAAATTCAGAGATTCCCATTTAAACAAAAATATTTCACTTCAGAGATTTTAACTTCTGCATACGAAACTCAGAATCTAGTCCGTTAGTTCAAAGTATCCTAAACCCTTCAAGTATAAAAACTTTATAAGTCTTAATTTAGAGTTTAATTATGAATATACTCCTCCTGGGAAATGATCTTAAAATCTGAATTATAAAATAAAAATATAAAGCTGATGATAAAATCTGATGGTGACAAAAAGACAGGGCTGTGAATAATTTCAGTTGCTGAGAACATTAAAAGTTAAACTATAATATTAACATCAATGACAAAACCAGAAAAAATCTAAGCACTTCTCATGTGCTAGGTACTGTTCAAAGTTTTCTTGATAGTTGTCGACATTCAACTTCACACAATGCTGTAAGTAAGCGGTCTTACTATGCCCACTTTAGATATGCTTCAGTACATCGTTCAAGAGATAAAAAGTAGAGAGAATAGTACAAACTGACTATGGAAACACACCATGAAATGCATGTGCAGGTGGTGCTGAAAGAGTGAGAACAGCATCCCATAGACAATCAGAACTGAAATATGCTACGTACTGGCCCCTGAGTAAGCAGGAGTGAGATAGAGAGTATAAAATACAGGGAGAGGTTAAGTGTCTAAACAGAGCAAAGTCAAAACTCCTCCCACGCACCCTCACCCCACCCCCACATAAAGCTGACAGTTACCAACATCCCAGGCGGTAAACCTAACCCAAGCCTAATCTGGCCCTAAAGTTCTTGCTTTTAACTATCACACTGTATCACCACTCTTGGACAAAACACAATCTACCCACAGAATGTTTATGAGACACACTTCAAATGAAAGAACATATAAAGGTGGGAAGAAAAGGATAGGCCAGGAAATATTAACTAGAAAAAAGTCTTATGTGTAACTATGCATCAGTATCAGAAAAAAGACTTTGAGGTTAAAGATATTAACAATAGCCCAGTGTTAGGTACCTGGTAACAAATGTGCCCAGTCTCAAAATATATAAAGTACAAATAACTGATCTAAGAAAAAAAATGACCAATAAACAATAAGCTAATACACGTAAGGCCTTTAAAATAGTGCCTGGAACATAAGTAGCATATAAGCCTTACCTATTATTATAGAAAGATATAAAGTCTTTTTCAGGAATTCATAGATCAATCAGATAAAGAATCAGGATATAATTTACTTGATCTCATGCAAAACACAGACACTTGAACAGGTGATATGAATGTGCGTTCACATGCACTCAAAAAGTGTCTACATACTAGGCCACAAAGCAAAACTCAAAAATTCCATAGAATCAATATCATAATTTCCTCCAATGATAAAGGAATTACATTAGAAATCAGTAATAAAAAGAAGCCCAGTAAAATCTCATATGTACGAAAATTTAAAAGCATGCTTCTATGTAATGCACAGATCAAAGAAGAATGATCATGAAATTAGGAAATATATCAGATTAAATAATTTAAAAAATGAGAACTTGTGAGATAAAGCTAAAGTAATCTTTGCAGGAACATTTATAGCTTTAGATAGATGTTCATGCTAAAAGAAGAAAAACTGCAAATAAGTAAGTTAAACATACAAGTCAAAAATTTTAATTTAAAAATAGAAAACCAATGAATGCATAAGGTTAGGAAATTATAGCAACACAAATCTACAAAATGAAGTAGAATACAAAGGTATTATAGCAAGGACAAACCCAAAATAAATAACATCAACACACTTCTTGCAAGATTATTTAAGAAAAAAAGAGAAAGTTCACAAATAAATAATATTAGGAATAAAATGGAATATAATTCATTATATTCATTACATTCAGTAGAGATTTAAAAATATAGAAGTGAGAACTCTGGGATGCTGAAAGCAGTGATATGATTTTCAAATCTCTTAAGTTTTCCCATAAAAAATGACAGAACAAGGACAGCAAAACCCACCCACCACTCCTCACCCTGGAAAACATCTACAACAAGTCAGAAAACATGAGTGGGCAGAAAAAAACCACTGGTAGCTCCGGGACTTAAATGAAATCAATATATTTGTGGGAGAAAATAAACAGGACAACTGGGCTTCCAGTGGACCTAAAAACATGAAAAGCCTCAAACTGCCAAAAATTATCCAGGGGAAAATGTGTCATGCAATCCGAGAAGGGCAGCCCCAACGGGGCGAGGATGCTTGTGCAGGACCCTCCCAGGTCAGGCGCCTCCCCTGAATCCTGCCTCCCTCGGACCTGGTTCCTCAGGTTATCCCTCATCTCCCTTTTGCTCATCTCAGTTATTCGGAGGTTAATCCATTGCTCACAAATGAAGATTCTCCAACTCTATAATGTGTTTCTTCTCTATTTTAAAAAGATGAGCAGGATCAAGATACACAGATTATGGATGAACACACTATTAAGTATTAAAACTTCATCTTCAGACTCCTACAGCTACCAACCACAGGCTTTAATGAATTTTAACATAAAAATCCAGCAAAGTAAATAGCAAGATGCATATAAGTACTTAAATAACTTAGTTGCTATTTGATAAGTGAAAGAAATTCCTTAATGTTTAGGGTTATTATCAAATAACTAAACAAATAAATTTAAGTTCTCAAATTTCAAAAAACATGGTCAACTGAATCCAAAAGAAAATTTGTATATGTTCCATTAGACCAACCACTGAGCCTTTGAAGTTACTGCTTTTCTCTTTGGAGTAAGGTTCTGGGTAATAGCATCCTGCCAAGGTTTACCTGCAGAGAAGAAATGTGGGCAGTAGTGAGAGAGGAAAAGAAATAGGAGAAACACAGCCCCCAGACAGTTCATGAAAATATTTTTCCTTTTCTCTTAAAAAAAAAAATCACATTGTTTGGGATTTAGTGGCTTGTTATCTGTCCATCTCAGGGTATTCCTAGAGGTGACTTGATAACATAATACTAAGGTCATGCTTAAGGTGCCATAGGAATCCATTCTTCAATTCACCTTTGATAACTCACTGCTATCATGATAATCTTAAAAGAAAAAACAGCATATCATTTCCAAATGAAAGATAAACCCACACTTCTCTTAGAAAAAAAAAGCAGTTGGAATATTCAAGTCAAATAAAAAGCAGAATTAATAGCAGTCCTACAGAAACACGACCATGTATTTAGGTAGCTCCAGAGGCAAAAACAAGAAACACTGAATGGAAGTTAGAGAAGGCAAACTTTGTCTAAAGGTAGAGATGGTCTTCCTTGCAACAGCAACTGTTCAAAAATCCAGTGGCGTGCCTGAGAGGAGGTTAGGTCACTTGCCACGTTCAAGGAGAACCTGTAGGCACATTCACTAGGCATGATGTGAGGGAAAGTCTGGCATGTTTCTGCTTCTCTTGGGCAACCCACAGATATAAACTAAATTTGATAATGACAGAAGTGGTCCACATTATTGAGCAAAGTATGTAGTTCAAAGGAGTAGAGAAGTAACAAATATGCAATTTCACAGACTGCAGAAACATCCTGTTTGCAAAGTGGTTATCTCAGGAGTCCATGCAGAATGAGAATTTTGGAATAAGGAGCAATCTAAAAAAGCAGGTTAGGAATGTATCACTGACAGAAACATGATTAATTTTTTTTCCTGTTTTCCCCTCCACTCAGGAGATAAACAGTAGTTTTCTACCTCCAAATTATTATGTAATAAAATAAATGGGCTCTTTAGCTCTCCCCCTCAAAAAACCAAGACAGAATCCCTTATCACTTGCTCATATAAACTCTGATATGCTATAGAACACAGTGTCAGACCAGAAAAATCTCAGATTGCTCAGTACTCCAAATACAGTAGCTCATACAGCAAAAGGTAGGGCCTCCCTTCCAAATGAGGGCTGGGACATAATTAGTTTCTCCAACAGCCTAGGCAACTGAAATGTGGAAAAGAAATAAAAACAGAGCGGAATTACTTGTTCTTCCATTATACAAATTTGAAAGTTATACAAGCACATAAGTGAAACCACTGTCTCTAAGAAATCAAAGAGGAATGGGGTTAGCTGGACCCCTCAAATCCCAGCAACTTGGGTATTATTTAAGGGACTAGCTCTCTGTCCTTGGTTACCAGGGGGGAAACCTAGTGCACTGCTTGAAACTCTACCCTAAAATAATATGGCCAGTTTCTAGGCAGAGGGAAAGAGGTTTCCTGGAAAAGATACAGAAAACAAGCAAATCCTAGTTTGTCTCACATTTCTCTGAGGGCTGGCACCTGCAGAATCCATTTTAAACTCACTGTAGAGAAAAAGTGCACGTACACTACATTCATACACACTGTG